GGAGCAGCCTGCGGGGAGCTGCGGCCGAAGCCGGCCCTCCCGACCTCGGACCGTGGGAGCAGTTACCGTCACCATCGGCCTGGAGGATGCAAACTGACCTCATTGCGGTGCCAATCGCTGCAAGCCGATGTGGGCGCGGCCTGGAGTGGACTGTTTTGTTTTTAATCAGAACGACGCTCTCCATCCTGATGGTGGATTTTGTCACTTTTGCTTTTTTACAAAGAGCCGGACTCTTGATTTAAAGCTCATTTCTCTAATCTGCCCCCTCTCCTTGGGGCGAAGAGCCAGGTGGGGGAAGGGAAAGCAGAGTTTACCTAATCCAACCTTTTAGTCCACTAAAGGCAGTCTAAGAAACTTTTGGATGCACTCGGTATGATTGGCATAAAAGCAATGGCAATCTTGAATAGACTTACTGGGCTAACTGAGCCTGCCTTCAGGACAGGCTCTGTGATTGTTTTCTGCGAGCAATTGAATGGCCAGGTAAATGACTGTAGGCGGATCCGCTTCCCTTTACTCTACAGATGGTTTGTCCTCAACTGAGTTTGGCTCAGGGCCCAGGTTGGGGAAAAGAGTTGAGAAAAGCAGCAGACCAGGGCTTTTCCTAGGTGCCCTGAGGACACTGTGCTTCCTCCTTTCCTACTTGATACCACTCGCTTAAATTCTACTTGGAAAAGAAAAATGGGCCTTTTAGCAAAGTTGATTCCTTTCTTTGAAAATGCTTGGTGGGAGCAGATGGCCAGAATCTAGTGAGCACTGTTTTTATAGGAACCTCCTTTAAATAGGAAGACACACTAAGCCTCTGTATTGTTTAGATATTTCAGCTGCAGTGAACTGTAGACCCCAGGTAAAGTAATTAAGTGAATTAGCAGACTGCTTTACTTCTATATTGCAAGAACAAGGGGAGGTGATCACCAGGCTTGCACAACCAGGGGAGGTGATCACCAGGCTTGGCTGTGCCACCCAGCATGCCATCAGGATCTGTCCTGGGCTTTCTTCTCCTTGACCCTGGGATCACTGGCATTTTCCCGGTGGTTATAACATGATTGTCACTTTTTCCAAATATCACTTCTGTATCTAGGGCAGGAATGAAGGGCAGTATAGGCACCAGCCTCTAGTTCTTACCAGGAGAACAAGTTTTTCCCTAAACTTTTCTAACAGGTTTCTGGCTACTGTAAGGTAGAGAGAGAAAGGAAAACTGAACTGGACCCTTTGCCATCTCCAAACAAAGCTGGGTTTCTGTCATCAGACCTAGAGAATGGGCCTGGGGGGGAGAGGAGGGCCTGATACAGGTTTGCCCCCATCTCCCTTTGTGCGCTCTGTAGATATAACAACGATGTCATAAATATGATGTTAGTGCCCATGAGGTCTATTGTGGAATTTCTCTGTTTAACGGATAAGGAAACTGAGGCACAAAGAGGCTAACAAGCGGTGACATCAAGCAGTTTGAACTCCAGCCCTGAGGCTCAAACTCTTTGCAGAATGTTCTTGTACCCTGTGCAGAGGGAGTTCTCAAGAAACTCTTGTGCACAGAGTCCACTGGGGTATATTTGAGCCTTTTCTGTGAATATGTAAATTGCTTAAGGCAGAGAGCGTTAAAATGCAGCTTCTCAACAGGAGAAGGACATAGTAGTGCCCTTAGAAGCCTGGGTCAGATTTTGAACCCACAGTGGAAAGATAGATCTCCTCCTGCATGTAAGTTTTAATTTTCAAGTTGGAAAGACTGGCAGTCATGTGATCATTTCCTCTTTATTCTCTTTGTCGCATCTGGACCACTTCTCCACTCCTGCATAAAACCTCTGTCCCTTTGCAGCTCCTGTCATTGGCTGACATCCCTTTTACCTTCCTCTGTGAGGCTGTCTCCTCACCTCCCAGCCCTGCTCCCTCATTTGTCAAGGGCTTGGCATAAAGCTTGAGTTTTCTTACCGTAAGCATGGGCCTTGAGCAATGGGAATCTTCAGAGTCCATTAGCATGGCCCTTGTAACTCGCTGGTCCCTCAGTCCCCATAGCATCCTCCCCACCCTACCCATACATTCAGTTCAGATCCTGTTCGCACTCAGACCTGTCTTCCACCCAAACCTCTGACCTCTGCTTCCTCCTTTGATGGTAGTCTTGGCCCAGGGAACACTCTGTCCCCTTGGATCACTGGGTTCTTCTCTCTTCTATTCCTTCAACTTCTTCCAGGACGTGTATATTTACACAGATGGCCCCGTTGTCTCCCCACCGCCCCCCACCCCCTTACTCAGGGAAACCTCTGGACCATACGTTAAGATAACCAACTGGACTCACTTTACCTGAGTCTCTAGATTCTAAAATTGCCTCCTTTCAGTTTCCCGTTTCAACAGGGAGACCCAGTCCTACCAATGATGGACTGGGTCATTCTGCCAAAAAAAAGGGTCATTCTACTTCAGGGCTACTTCTCTTAGTCCTGACTTGCCCAAATTCTTGTCTTAGAAGAATCAGCACAACCAAACTACCAAACTAGAGGCTAAACTTAGAGGAAAAGTGAACTTTCCTGACTCCAGCTCCTCACTTCTACAGCTCCCATCCCTTCGACCCTTGGACTGGTGTCCATTTGTTACAGGACAGGGAGAGAGGGACACCCCTGAAGCCCCAAACCTGCCTGCTCCAAATCGGTTCTGCCATCCACCACATCAAGACAAACCATATAAAACTTTAATGAAAAGGGACTTTAATACAGTGAGTATACAATACAGAAGACAAAGAATATAATGTCTAATCAAACACCTGAAGCTACCCATCCCCTCGTGGGCAAAAGTCAACCCAAAAGGGATTGGCCCAAAGCAAGGCCTGAAAGCTGCCACAAGACTAAAGCACCTTCTGACCGGGACCCATGGAAAAGGGTCAGAAATGGCCAGACAAGTCTGGGAGGAAAAGAGCAAAATCAAAATCAGTATAAATACTGCCATAGTCACCTCCCTACAAGTATCTCACCCACATCTGCCTTAACCAGTTCAGGGTCAGGAAACAAGCCCGGTTTCTTCATCACATGCTCGCTGCTCCATGTGGCTTCCTCAGGTCTCCTTCTAGCTCTCCATCTTCCTTCCTTCTTTTCTCTTCTCCTGATTCCTTCTCTTCTTATCCTTTTTCTCTGCTCAACTCCACCCTTCTTCTGGGTGGGGCAGGGAACCTGGAACTTCCCCTTTTCCTAGGACCCACACTTTTACACATTCTGCTGGGTCCAAATCCCCAAGTCAGGCCCTTGGCCAACATTAACTGTGATAAATGGCCTAAGAGGAAACCTCCCTGCATTAAACTCACAGTCCATGTCCCTGCCTTACCTCTTAGTCCTCCAGAGTTTCATGCTTCTCCAGGATTATTTTCACTTACTGCCTTCTACTTACCTTCTTCCATGCATAAGTGCTTCCTTGCTTGATTCTGAGACATATGGGAATCTTGAAGTCCCAGCTTAGTTTCATGATGCCGTTGTAAACAGGTCCACAAAGATGACTTAATGCAACATAAATTTACTCTCTTGTAGTTCTGGAGGTCAGAAGTGTGTAACGTGGGCAAGGCTGCTTTCCTTCTGTAGGCTGTGTGGGAGACAGCATCCCTTGCCTTTTCTAGACTTTAGAGGCTGCCCACAGTCCTTGCCTAGCAGCCCCACTCACCCCAGCCTCATTTCCATCATTACATCTCCTTCTTTGACTCTGGACCCTTCTTATAAGGACCTTTGTGGTTACACTGGACCCATGTCATTACATTGGACCCACCTTTACTCAAGGATAATCTATCTTAGGACCTTTAATTCAGCCATAGCAGCAAATACTCTTCTACCGTGGGAAGTAACATAATCACGAGTTCTGGTGTCAGGATGTATGTGGACATCATTGGGCAGCTTGTCACAAGCTCATAGAACTGGAGGGGTCAACTGTTGCAGCAATAGTCTTCATAGAAATGTTTCTTCTACTTCTAATGGATGGAGAAGCTACTGAGTTCCATGGAAGGGCAAAGGGCATTTCTCAAAGTTATGTAGTGACTCTAATGGAGAATGGGGCATGGAATTCAGGATTCAGGCTCCTACCACAGCTCTCCTCACCATTCAGGCCATTTCTAGAAAATAGAGACTTAGACTCAAAGGGGGTGGTGGGGAGAAGCAAATCCATGTGTCTGTGAATATGTATAGATGTCAATATTAAGTTGAAAAAATAATTGCAGGGCCTCCCTGGTAGCACAAAGGTTAAAGTATCAATGCTGTCAAGCTATCACCAGCCAAGGTGAAATGAGTTCATCCCAGAACAGGTAGCTGACTCATGTGGTACAGCAGACCTCTCCTGATTGGGCTTCTGCTCCCCTCCGTAGTGTACTTCGTTGATCTGCTTGTTCTGCTCCTCACTCTGTCTCTGGTG